CATGCATGCATTCCTAAAACAAATAAGAAATATATGTATTTAGTATGTATACATCTTAGGTGAAATATTGATATTTTCTAATGATATGCCTTTTTAAAGGATATGCATGTTTTCCATTTCCACTTTTATTAGCAGTGCTGCTGTACACATCCACAAGGATGTCTTTGCATACAATCTTATTGTTATTACTTGAAGGAACTCCTTGGAATGGAACTTTGGGGCTAAAAATATATACATCAATACATAGTACCTTTAAGAATTCTACTATTGGGTTTTGTCCCCAGTGGCAATATTGTGTCTTAAAGTTTGTATGAGTTTCATTCTGTATTTACAGTTTTTATTCTCTCAGGTACTGCCCCTGTGATGCTGCCTGGGGCTCCTTACTCTCCCCTGATCTCATGCCCAGGCCTTCTTGACTATACTTTCTCTGTGACACTTTTACTCAGGCTCTTTCTTCAAACTTGAGGATTACCTGGATGAACTTTTCCCTTTAGGGAAAATTTCAACAACTACTTACTTTTTAAAAGATAAGATGAAAAATAGGGATAAACAGTGCATACTAATGAATGTAATTGAAACTTACTTCGACAATAATAATGCTTACTTTTATTTGCATTGTACTGTGCAAAGAACTGGATATGCATCATATAATAATTAAATGCCACTATTAATATCTTCCTTTGAAATAAAAACCTGAATCACAGAAAACTAATTATTTTCCAAGGACAATTAACCTATGAATAGCAAATTTGTGCTTATATCCATGGTTGTATGATTCCAGTTCTGTTCTTAACTACTATGATATACAGTCTGCATTTGGAGGTTAAGAAATAAATTTAGGACTTTTTCAGTAATTCAAAAACATCATTCAAGAAATTAATTTAAAATTATTATATAATGAAGATTTTAATGAGCCAATGTTGATTTTATATCATTTTAGTAAATATCTTTTATTATATCATAATACAAGGTCATTGATCCTATTCCTCATTTTTCTTATAATGGCAATAAATATTCTCTAAGAGAAGAATAGTCAGAAGTATGTTCATATAATTATCATGAAGTAAGAATTTAGGTAAACTTGTAGATAACTAATTTCTTGTTATTTGAGAAATTGTTCTCCTCCAGGTTTATTAATTAGCTGACGTGCCATAACAAGCCATTGTAAATCTGGTGGCTTTAAAACAACCCTCAGCTCAGACAGCTGGGTTCATTTGATACTAGTTCAT